GCCGGTGATGGAGCGAGGCCACGGGTGCATCCCCAGACGGGTTCCCAGCCTCTTTCTCCCCCGTGGCGTTGCAATTCAGGTAATTAAAACCCAACCCCGAAGACACAGGAAACCGCAGGCGCTGGAGAGAGGCCGGCAGCGAGGCTGTGCTGAGCATCCCCGCTCCCTCAGCCCAGCTCCCGGCACCCTAGGGTGCTGAAGGCCACGCCGGATGGACCCCACCGATGCACGAAACGAGGCGGGGGGGGGCCCTGCGTGTCGCGCCGTGATGCTCCTGCCGGGATGCAGGCGATGGCTCCTGCCACACCCGCTTCCATTGTGGGGGCCAGCCGAGGTGGGGGGGGGCCGTGGCAGCATCACCTCGGTCCCCCCCAACGCCATCGCCGGCTGTTTTATTTCCGTGGTAATTTGGGGTCATTTTTCCCAGGAGCCCGGCGCGGTGGAGATGAAAGCTGGGTGCAGGCGGCAGCGGCTCGGCGGGCGCGGGGAGATGCAGGGGCTGCGAGGGTGGCTTCAGCCCCGCTCGCCTGCAGAGAGGCTTTCTAAACCCCCACCACCACCCCCCCAAGCGTGGCCAGTGGAGGGGCTTTGCCGTGGCCCCTGCTGCCGTTTGCAGGGCGAGAGCACCCCAGGGGTGCACAGGGTGGCCCATGGGTGCTGCAGGCCAGACCCCAGGGCAGGTGGGGGTTAGAGGGAAAGGGGTGGGGGCCAGGCCAGGCTGAGCTTCCCCCCCCCCCATCTCTCCAGGGCATCTAGGGACACGGCTCAGCCCTTCTCCCTGCCAGAGCATCCCCCGGGGAAGCAGGTCAGGGCTGGTGCTGTGTGTGATGCTGGGGGCTGGGTGTCCCCCTGCCCGGGGGCTCTGTCCTCCCGCCACCCCGGGGACCCACGCGGGGGGCAGTGGCACCGCATGGGTCCCCCCCCACATGCAAGCGTTTCGGGTTGGGAAGCGCCGGAGCAGCTGGCAGCATTGCTCCTCTCCGCGTCCCCATAAAGGCCCTGTGTGGGTCACTCCTGAATTGTCACCACGACCTCCTGTCCACGCTTGCCTCCACCTGGGGAGCGAGGGCCAGCAGGTCCCCGTGGTAGGGACAACGCAAGGACGTGGCAGGCAGTGACATGGAGCCCCTCGTGCCGGGACACCCCACACCGCAACCTGCCCCATCACGCGTGGCAGGGACCTGGGGCTGCGCAGGGGCAGCAGTGCCCGGCACCACCTCCCCACACTGGCCCGTGTCCCCCGCTGCCACCCGGGAGCAGGCATTGGGGTCCCCCACCCCGAGGACAACCCCGGCAGAGGGGATGCGCTGTGCCATGTGCCCAGCTGGCACAGGAGGAGCAGCCGACCTCTGGTCCTGCGCTGCACCGCTGCCACCCCGAAGCCATCCCTGTCCCTGTCCCCAGCCCCGGTGAGTGTCACAGTCGCAGGACGGGCAGTGGTCCGAGGTCTGTGCCGCAGCCCCCGAGCCGGAGCCATCCCAGTGCCAGGGCCCAGGACTGAGCTCTTGCTGGCAAAAACTGGGTCATGCCATGTCCCCCGGGGTTGGCTCCGGCACTGTGTCCCCACAGTGGGGACCCTCGTCCTGCCTGGTGCTGGTGCAGGGCTGAAGCTGGGGAGCCCCACTGAGCCTGCAGCACCCGTCCCCCGGCTGGGGGGCAATTGCTTTAATTAGAGTCATTTCATTAGCGCAATTAAGAAGCAGCAGTCGCCTGGAGAGCGTTGGAGCAGCACGTTGGCTCCCGGGGAACCGGGGGGGTCTGTTTTGCTCCAGCAGTGTGGGCAGCCTGGGGGGGTCCCCCTGCCTGCTGAGCCCCTGGGGATGAAGGGCATGGGGATGCCCACAGCCCGGGCAGGGATGGCAACATCCCTGGGGCAGAGGGACTGCGGGACATGCCCAAGAGCGAGGCAGGGACTTGCTGCGGGCGAAAGCCTGGGCGCCGGAGAGCCCACACCCCACTCCAAACACCTCCAGGGTGCCTGGTCCCAGCTGGCACCTTTGGGTCCTGCACCCCAGGTTTGAAATCCCAGGGGTGGCATCCCCAAAACCCATGCCTTGATTCCGGGTTTGTCCCCACTGCCCCCTGCCCCAGCAGCATCCAACCACCCCTGTCTGGGCACAAGGCTTCTGTCCCGGCTGGGTGCCGGGTGGGGGGCAGAGGTTGGACCCCCACCTGCCACTCCATCAGGCCCCGAGCCGTGTCCCCAGCCCCGGGCACGGGTGCAACGCTGCACCCCGCGTGGGAAGCGGGGCCCGTGGGTGCTCAGGGTGCCCACCGCCGCTGTCGGCAGGCGAGGGATTCCTCGGGGCTGGCTGGGCGCCAGGCTCCGGGCTTGGCACAAACAAATCGCAGCCCCAGCGCGCAGCTCCCCAGGGCCCCGGGGATCCTCCGAGCAGCCGCTCCGCTCACGCAGCCATCCGCCCCCGGCTCAGGCAAGGGAACACGTGCGCCCGCCGCAGCCCACGTCGCCCGCCGCGCTCCGGGCCCTGGCGGAGGGGGGGCTGCCGGCAGCTGCTGCCTGGCAACTGGGCAGCAGCCCCCCCAAACACTCCAAATCCCAGAGGTGGGGGGCTTTTCCCGAGCTTGCAGCTGCATCGATCCATGCACCGTGCCGGGGGCATCCGTGCTCCCCCGCTGCCACGCCGTACCCCCTGCTCCGTGCCAGCGTGGTGGGCGCAGCCCAGCCCGATCGTGCCGAGCCGTGCTGGGGGCTGGGCGCCGCCGCCACCCTCCCCATGGGTTTAGCAGCGGCTGTGGGGAGCAGGGAGAGCCTTTTGGGGTGCAGCGCATGTGCATCTCTTGAGGGAGCTCAGGAAAGGGGATGCTCTCTGAGATACCGGCAAATGTCTGCTTTCCCTGACTGCTCCGACCGGGAGCCTCGCATCTGCAGGAGGGTATTGGGGGGCGAGGTCCGGCCACCCCGGTGCCCCCTGAACCCCGCAACCTCCCGGCAGGCCGACATTGAGCAGCTGGACCCCCGAGGACGCACCCCGCTGCACCTGGCCACCACGCTGGGCCACCTCGAGTGCGCCAGGGTCCTGCTGAAGCATGGCGCCGACGTGGGCAAGGAGAACCGCAGCGGCTGGACAGGTGAGCCGGGGGGGGCTCGCTGCCTCGGTCCTCCATCAAGCTGCCCCGGCATGGGCACGGGTACGGGCACGGGCACAGGCACGCTCAACTTGGTGCTGCAGCTCCCCAAGGGACAGCTCACGCAGCAGGACATGCACGTGGCTCCTGTGCAGCGGCCAGCTCCGGCGTGCCACGCCGTGCCGTGCCGTGCCGTGCCACGCCGTGCCGTGTGATGTCCCTGGGCACTGCCCCTCTCTGCCCCGCAGTTCTGCAGGAGGCCGTGAGCACCCGCGACCTGGAGCTGGTGCAGCTGGTCCTGCGCTACCGCGACTACCAGAGAGCCATCAAGCGCCTGGCCGGGATCCCCATCCTGCTGGAGAAGCTGCGCAAGGTACCTCCTGCTGGAGGGGGCTGCTGGGGTGGGGATGGCGGGGGGGGCATGCCGGCCACGGGCTCCTCCTGACCCCGCTGTGCTCTCTGCAGGCCCAGGACTTCTACGTGGAGATGAAGTGGGAGTTCACCAGTTGGGGTAAGCTTGGGGCACAGCGTTGCTGGGAGGGGAGCGGGAGCTTCCCAGCAGAGTCCCCCAGCCCCAGCGTCCATCCCCAAGATGGGGGACACGTGGCTCTTTGCCCCCCCCCACCACCCCAAGCTTGCAGACCCCCGTCCCACCAAGGCGTGGGGTTCCCCAGATGTGTCCCCCACCCAGCTCAGCGCTGGCAGCCCACTCGGGGGTGCAGGGTGGCCCCATCCCCGGCTGGGCTATCGCCGTCTCTCTCCAGTGCCGTTGGTGTCCAAGATTTGCCCCAGTGACACCTACAAGGTGTGGAAGAGCGGCCAGAATCTGCGGGTGGACACCACGCTGCTGGGCTTCGACCATATGACCTGGCAGCGGGGCAACCGCAGCTTCGTCTTTCGGGGACAAGGTGAGCCGGCGCGGGGGTCCCCCATGCCGCCCTCACCAGGGAGCACTGGCAGAGCCCCTTGGCACCGCAGCGGGGCCGGGTGACGTGGTGGGGACCGCGGTCGCCCCCGCGTACCCTGACCCTCCTCCCTGCAGACACCAGCGCGGTGGTTATGGAGATTGACCACGACCGGCGGGTGGTCTACTCGGAGACGTTGGCCCTGGCCGGCCATGACCAGGAGGTGCTGCTGGCTGCTGTGCAGCCCACCGAGGAGCAGGTGATGGGGCGGCTGACGGCCCCCGTCGTCACCACCCAGCTCGACACCAAGAACATCGCCTTTGAGAGGTGGGCTGGGGGCGGCACCGAGCCCCCCCCCGGCCCCAGGGTGCTTGCACCCTGGGCTGTCCGAGTGAGACCATCCGTTGCTCACGGTGCTTCGCGTCACCCCAGGAACAAGTCCGGGATCCTGGGCTGGAGGAGCGAGAAGACGGAAATGGTGAATGGGTACGAGGCCAAGGTGAGGAGCAGGGGCGTTGAGACGCCCGCGGAGGGGGTACGGCCGGTTGCGGGTGGGGGGGGGGATTCAGCTCCGGCATTCCCCGCCTCTTCGGCCAGGTCTACGGCGCATCCAACGTGGAGCTGATCACGCGGACACGGACCGAGCACCTCTCGGACCAGCACAAGGGCAAGAGCAAAGGTGAAGCCGGCGTGGGCCGGGTGGGCAGGGCGCTGCGCCGGCTCTGGCCCTCACCCCCTCCTCTCCCGCAGGCAGTAAGACCCCCCTGCAATCCTTCCTGGGCATCGCCGAGCAGCACGTAGGGCCCAACAACGGGGTGAGCGTCCCAGGGGTCTGGAGCGGGGGGGGGAGGGGGGGGCAGCCCCACAGTCGGAATTCCCCCCCCCCCGTCACCCCGCCGGGCTGTCCCGCAGACGCTGATAACGCAGACGCTGAGCCATGCCAACCCCACCGCCATCACCCCTGAGGAGTACTTCAACCCCAACTTCGAACTGGGCAACCGAGACATGGGGCGGCCCATGGAGCTCACCACCAAGACACAGAAGTGAGGGGAGAAGGAGCAGAATTGGGGGACACCCCCCCCCCATCTCCCCTCTGACCGCTGCAGAGCCCCCAGGGTGGGGGGGCAGGCAGGGGTCCCCAGCCCAGCGCCTGTCCCCGGCAGGTTCAAGGCGAAGCTGTGGCTGTGCGAGGACCACCCGCTGTCCCTCTGCGAGCAGGTTGCCCCCATCATTGACCTCATGGCAATAAGCAACGCGCTCTTCGCCAAGCTGCGGGACTTCATCACCCTGCGCCTCCCGCCGGGCTTCCCCGTCAAGATCGGTACGGGGGGGGTCTTTGCCGCCGGTACGGGTGGCGCAGCCAGCTTCCCTCCCTGCTTTTTTTTCCCTTTCCTGCAGAAATCCCCATCTTCCACATCCTCAACGCCCGCATCACCTTTGGGAACCTCAACGGGTGCGACGAGCCCGTCAGCTCCCTGCGGCACAGCCCCAGCAGCGAGGCACCCTCGCCCAGCAGCGACTCCTCCAGCGTCAGCAGCTCCAGTTCCCTGAGTACGTGGGTTCGGGCTGGGGGGGGGACACGAACACGGCTGGTGGGGTGGGAGCAGGGGGGCGACACAGCGGGGTGCCCCACCGTACCGGCACCTATTTCTCCGCAGCCTCCTGCCGGGCGTGTGAGATGGACCCGGCGCTGTTCGAGGTGCCGCGGGGGTACAGCGTGGTGGGCACCCACCAGGACACCCTGCGGGAGGATGAGGATGACCTGCTGCAGTTCGCCATCCAGCAGAGCCTGCTGGAAGCGGGCAGTGAGTACGACCAGGTGGGCGCTGCC